GATATTCTTAAGGCTTCTTTCTACTGTGAATTCTCCTATGTGCAATGAGGTTTGAGAAATCAGTGAAGGCTTTGCCACACTCCTTACATTCATAGGGCCTCTCTCCACTGTGTATCCGCTTATGTGAAATAAGGTGTGAGTGATTAGTAAACGCTTTCCCACACTCCCTACATTCATAAGGCCTCTCTCCACTGTGAGTTCTCCTATGTGAAACCAAGTTTGAGTGCTGAGTAAAGGTTTTGTCACACTGCTGACATTCATAAGGCCTCTCTCCACTGTGACTTCTAAAGTGTCTCATTAGCTGTGAGGGATAAGAAAAGGTTCTGCCACATTCCTTACACACATGAGGCCTGTCTCCACTGGGAGTTTTCCTATGATGAGTGAGAGATGAGGAATAAGGCCTCTCTCCACTGTGAATTTTAACGTGTGCAGTTAGCTGTGAGGGATAAGAAAAGGTTCTGCCACATTCCTTACAGACATGAGGCCTGTCTCCACTGGGAGTTTCCGTATGATGAATGAGAGATGAGTAAGGTCTCTCTCCACTGGGGGTTCCAAGATGTACAGTGAGCTGTGAAGAATCACAACAGGCGCTGCCATATTCCTCACATGTATGACGGCTCTCTTTATGGTCAATATTTATATGTAAAGTTAGGCCTGAGGACTGACTAACTGCTTTCCCACCTACCTCACATTCATAAGGCCACTCCCCACTGGGAGTTCTCATGTGCCTAGCCACGTGGGATAAAAGATGAAAGACTGTGTCACATTCCTTACAATCAAAAGGCCTGTCATCTCGGTGACTTCTTAAAGGCACAGGGACCTCTGAGGATTCATCAAAGGTGTCCCCGTAGTCCTTACATTCCTTAGGCTTCTCTCCAGGAAGAGTTCTCGCAGGAGTGCGGGAATAAGGAGGCCGTCTGCAGACTTCTCCAGGCTCTCCATCCTGGTTGGTGTTACAGTCAGGGTGAAAACTAGTCTGATGCTTACGTGACGACGCTTGGTCCATGGGGGATGTTCCACAGTGAACGGACCTCAAAGGACATGGGTCACTAGAAGTTCTTTTGAGCACGGGAAGATCTGGGATCCGGCTGACACTCTGTCCACACTGATTTTCCTTCTTCATTTCACAGACATTCAGTTTGATATGTCTTCTTCTAAGAATAATAGCCTTCAGTTAGATACATAGTGAATATAATTTCACCATGACCATCACAACAAACATGTACATTTACTTTGAATTGCTTCAATTCTCAAGATTAAATCATTTCACAAAGAAGCTCCCATTTGGGCATTGAATGTACAACTGTGCTTTACACAACTGATGTATGTATGGATTGTGATAAGAGTTGTATGAGCCCCTAATAAAATGATTTAAAAAAAAGAGTTTCAGACGGCAACATACACCCACCCCCTGCAAAAAAAAAAGACGCTCCCATTCATTTCACTCAATTTAGATCATATGGGATTTTCTAATTATACATAAGTGAACTATGTTTTAAAGTATTCAATATCCAATTCACATTTATGTAAATATTGTATAGTAAAGTTTCGGGAACACATATTAGACCTACCAAGTATAGACACATACACTTGTACATATATTCACACAGATACACATGCATACACACAGCCATCAAGTTCATGTCCACTCATATTGACCCAATAGGACGCAGTAGAGGTGCCACTGTATATTTCCAAACTGTGTTAATGGAGTAGAAAGCCCCATTTTTCTTCTGAGGTGTAGCTGGTGGTTCTGACAGGCAGGCCTTGAGGCTCGCAGCAGAACTGGAACCGCTATGCCACCTGGACTCACTATACTTGTGAAGCTGGCTGGGAGACAGGGTTGATGCGCTCCAAAATCAAAATGGTGCTGTGGCTTCCACTCATTGAGTGGCACTGCCATGCACCAGTATATTCAATAGGACAGAGTTTCTTCAGAGACTGACACTGCAATGCTACTATCCATGTATGTATGTGCATACACATACACATGCACACATGTACATATATATACACACACACACACACACACACACACACAAACACACAAAGGGACTCACAAAACGGATGGATAATATTATCTTTTCATTCCATTTCCCCATTATCGGAAGGCCTAACAGGAGAGAAATGTTCCGATTCCCTTCCTTCTGCAAGGCTATCTCCAGTGACTGATACTCACCTGCCGCAAGAGTTCTGCTTCTTATCCTGATCTTGAACGACAGGAAACACACATGGTTTTCCTACCACGGAGGACCAGGTGTCCTTTTTCAGGAACTTCACTCTTGTATTTTCAGTGGACAGCTTTTCTCCATCATCCAGGTTTTGTGAAACTGACCCAGTAGGACAAGTTGTGGTTCACAAAATAAAACAGAAAGGAAAGGCATTACTCAGTGGGAGAAGAGGCTGTGAGAAAAACAAATATATAAAATCCATTTTGCCATGGTAATATTTCAGCAGTCATACAAATGAAATTGACTAGGAAATACTCCCATTAAATGGAGATTGCTTGACTCATAAATAGGGGTTAAGTGAATAAGAAGAGCTACAAAGAACGGTTTTGGGCACAACCCACCACATGGAATACTAAAGCAGGGGGGGGAAAGATGGTTGTACACAGGTGTGTTAGTGAATGGGGGGCTTAAAAGGTCAGTCTGATGTTAATTCAAAAACTAAAAAAATAATAATAATTTAAGATTTAAACTACCAGGACCTTAATTCTGCCTTGCAGACCTGGTTAGACCAGATGATGCACAGCGGTACAGATGGGAATTGGAAACACAGGGAATCTAGGACAGATGAACCTCTCAGGACCAGGGGTGACAGTGGCGATACCAGGAGGGAAGGGGGGTGTAGAAAGGGGGAATCGATCACAGGGAGCTA